CATATATTTTAATCTAAATAAGACTATATGTTTTCTTAAATTTTATAAGTTTGATTTTGTTTTCCTGTATGTTAAATTACTTTAGTGTTCTTGGTAAAGTTTTAAGTTCAACATTCTTGTATTTACCATCCTTGATGTTAAAATACTACACGTTAACAACAGATGGACAGCTAAAATACTACACTAAACAAGTGATATTACAGAAGCAAGCAACATATTAAGTCCAAGAAAAGAGCCAGAATTTGGTACCTACAACACAAGTGATACAAAAGGAGATGGTACCAGAACTTCAGACAGAGTTTGAGCTACCAGTGTCAGCTTACAAGAGAATACTAGAGAACCCAAAATAGAACCTCGCCGATAGAATAAGAGAAAACCCAAGTTTTTCATAAGATAGAACACTAGAGAACCCTTCACTACTACTTTATACTACATAAACTTAAACAGTAGAGTCCGTGACTTCTCCACTTGCAGCTAAAGACCAAAAGACTTAACAACTTCAAATCGACCCGTGACTTCCTTCACATGCCTACTGCTCCACCCCTGATACAACTCAACACAAATAATACAATAGTTAGTTTACAAGTATTAAAGAAACAAATAAGACAATAGTTAGTTTACAAGTATTAACTAGAAGCAAATATAAACAGAGACATGTAAGTAGAAGAACCTATAAAAGAAACAAACATAAACTAGAAGCAAACATAAACTGAGACGTAAGCTAGAATTTACATAAACTAGACTTCAGACGTAAGCTAGAAGCAAACATAAACTAGACTTCAGACGTAAGCTAGAAGCAAACATAAACTAGACTTCAGACGTAAGCTACAAGCAAACATAAACCAGACATACCTAAACTCATATCATCTGAGACATGAGCTTAATTTTAAGAGATGTTTCCAGCTCACTAAGTGGCTCTTTTTGGGCGAGTAGACGGTCAAACAGCTTCTTGTTTTGGATCTTCTCTTTCATTTCGAAGATGGATTGTAACTGAGAGAGTGACTCTTCTCGAGCACTCTTCTTCTTCTTCGTGGCAGCTTTAGCAGCCTTGACACCCATAGGACGACCCTCTGTTTGTCCCACTTCTTCTTCCTCTGCTCTATCTACGTCCACCACTTTGCGCTTTTCCTTTGAGAGATAGGTAGAGGCCCATTTCTGGTCGTGCCTCAAATCCCTCCAAGCGTGTTCCATACTAAACTTGACCTTGTACTGATTGTTGAAGTTGTCTAGGGCTTTATTCATCACGTCATCATCGCTTTGACCACTCCTCTCATCCCTCAGAGCCGCGTCATAGCAACCAACGAATTTGCAGACTTGCTCGTTGATCCTAGCCCACCTCTGCTTGCACTGACCAAGCTCTCTAGGTGTTTTTCCCACCAATTGAGGGCTTGCGTTGAAGCAGTCAACTATTCTCTTCCAAAAACGCTACACCTTTCTTCTCATTGCCCACCACCGCATATTTGCTGGTGTTAAGCCACGCAGAAATAAGGATTCTATCCTCCCTCGGGCACCACTTCCTCCTCGAGAGAGCACCAGAGTCCACACTTGGAGACGGATCCAGACCTTGGCTACCGAACCAAAAGGGTTCGGGTGAATCAAGGTCCACTGATGCTTGGGTTTGGCTAAACAGAAGGTTAACATAGCTAGAGTTGTTGTCCATGTTTAGAGACTCGGTTGTGTCACTCTAATAGCAACACAACGACTTAAGTAGGCAAACTTAAATTTGATTTGGTTTAAAGGCAATAAAGACGAAGCAGATAGGAAGATAGAAAGCTCAATAGTTGCATTAAACACCAATCAAATCACACCAACATCCTAATCTAAAGCGGTAAAACATTAAAAACCATCACATCTTAGGCGGTAGGAAGCAACCACTCTTCTTTTACTAGTTCTATAACGGTAACTAGTTTCATATAAAACTAAGTAATGAGAAGTACTTGCATCTTAACTAGTGACTAGTTATATTAAAGTAATGAGAAGTACTTGCATCTAAAGAGTAGTAACTAGTTACCATTTACGGTAACTACTTGCATCTTAACTAGTGACTAGTTATATTAAAGTATATCATTATAGATTAGATTTATTTAGTTCTTATATTAAAGTATATCTTTTTATTTATTTTTAGTTCTTATATTAAAGTATATCATATATTAAGGTATATCATAGTTGTAGTGTTAAACGAAGTTGTAGTGTTGTACCTAATTATGCCGACATGTGGTTTAGACCATTGAAGCTCTTCCTGCCAAAAACAAGAGATCCAAGAGTCAATAGAGATATACTTGCATGAAGAACAACCAAAACACCAGAGATATACTTACCAGTCACACACATAACCGCCAAACATATAGAAGCTAATACAGAGACAACTACACAAACGGTCTTTAGCTCCCGAACGGTCTTCTTAAGCTCACACACGGTCTTATTAAGCTCACACACGGTCTTCTGTACCTTGACCACCTTCTCATCACACTGAAAACCTTAATCCTTAAGGTACCTAACATGTCTCTGCACCTCACTCATCTCCTCTGTGACAGCCACATCCCACCACTTCCAAATGTGGCACTCCCCGTCGTCCACATTGTCGCACGTGAAGTACCTTCGCCCTGGATCTTTCCTCGTGTAGGATGTACCAAGAGCAGGCTCACCACCACAGTAGCAACTGGTAGGGATTCCAGCATCAGCCTCAGCTTGAGATGTGTACTGACCCGGCTCTGCAATGTAGCTACTCGAACCTTCATCCGCGTAGAGTTGAGCTTCTACTTCAAGCAGTGACGTCATGTCAAACTCTGATGATGAGGAAGGCTGGGTGTACGAATAGTCTTGTCCCATGATGAGTATACCTGAAAGAAATCATGTAATAACAGTTAGTGCTCTCAATCTATAACCCACAATCATACTGTGTGTTAAAGAAATCCTAAGGAAACCAGAGACAACAACAAACAGAGAGCAATACCGAAACAACTACAGACACTACTAGGTTCTGTCCAATACACTAGTTCCTGGATAAGAACATTTGAACAAATACCAACACACACATAAAGAACAAGAATCACATGTAAACAAATACCAACACACACAGAGAATCCTCCCAAAGTTCAATACAGAAACACATATAAACCGTTACCAAACATCAGTCACATGTAAACAGGAATCACGTATAAAACCCTTTAGATCGAATTGAAACGACTATGGATTTTAAAACGGAAATCGATTTCAAACCTAAATCGTTTTCAAACCCAAAATCCCAAAAGTTCGATTGAAATCCTAAATCCCAAAAGTTCGATTACAAAGCATATGGGAATATCCAGAAATTGTTGGAAACCTAAATCGTTTTCAAACCCTAAATCACAAAAGTTCGATTGAAATCCCAAATCCTTCGAAACCCTAATTTGAAAAACACAAATCAATCAAAAACGAGAAAACCGAACCGTAAATTGAAAGGAAAACAACAAAAGACCTAATCTAAACACATAAATCGGCAACATAAACCTTCGATCTACCTTGCTCGAGAGAGTTCTCCAAAATCGCCTTTTCTCCAGAGCAATTTTTTTTTCTCCTCTTCGATCGAAATGCGTTTTTTTCTCGACAAAACAAAACCCGTATCAATCACGGACCAGCCAGAATGTGACACGTGGCTAAGGATCAAGGAAAAAAAATCCTTATTTACGTATTGATCCTTAGTCATTTGGGGTTAAATAATATTAAAAAAATGAATAATTCGTTGGACCGGTGGTTAAGGATCGCAACGTTCCTGCCGTTGCACATGGTCTTACGGCTTATTTATATAAGGACATGGTTGATAAACTGTTAGGGTTTTCAAACTTGAAAATGAGTGGACCATATTGGAAGAGAGGAAGAGATAACGAAGAAAAGGTTCATAACGGCTAAGTATTTTCGAAAACGGAGCCAAAAGGCGTGATAACCAGTGAAGAGTAGATGGGTAGGCTGTTGTTGTGGTCCATTCTCTCACTCCTCTCTGTGTTTCACTTTACTGAAAAGACAAGACGTGACATTGTTTCTACCCCTTACATATATGATTGAGATCGTTCAGAAAAATAACAACTATTTAGTCGAAACAATGATTCAATTATTTTTGTTAGAAAACACGATTTATTTGTTGAGAACACATGATTTATTTGTTGAGTTGGTATGGTCCTGAATACAGATCACTTCTCAATAAGTCCAAACATAAACAGGTAGGGTGGGTCTAGTAAAACAGTAATACTACGTGCAATATTCACGTACGGAGTTACCCATGTGGTAAATATTAGCTACGCGACATGGTTTAGTGCGGTGGAAATTTGGCTTAACGTCTGGAATGTCTCTTCGGTTGTATGGTTGTTATAATCCCATTGGACTTCACTTTTAAGTTTTTATCAGTATATTAATCTTTTTATTCAAAAGAAAAGACTAAAAGAAGCATGAGAAAGAGTTTTACGAAAAAGTTAAATCGTAGCATAATGGAATCCAAGGAACAATCGAGAAACAGCCGTTACGTATTATTCCCACTCGACGACTCTGATATGGAAAGTACACATGTCGCTGGCTAATTGGTTTGATGACAAACCGAGGATATGAAACGAAATGAAATCGTAGAGCCCACCACGCCCCTCCTATACAATAATACAGCATATGATTATCCGAAAACTTGTATTTTATTTCGAAAAGAGTTGAGACAAATCATATATTAATTGTACAATAATATGAAATAAAACGATGATATACTCTAGAACTTGATGTAGGAATAAAAAGATAATTATAAAAGACAAAATGTTCACAAGACGGACACCAAACTAAACTATTGAAAAACTAACAAAGTGGTTTTCTTTAAAAGAAATCAATAAAGGAAAACAAAACCAAAAAGAAAGCATAGACCCATTTCATAATTAACATCATCCATCCATACACCAACTTAAGTTCTCTCTGATTACACACAAAAGCAATAAATAAAGTAACATTTAATCATTCATTAAGTTTGGCAAATTCACACTTCATCATCATCAGTTTGTTGAACTGCTTCTGAATGAGGCCAAGGCCTTAACTGCTGCAGCTCTCAAAATGTATTGATGGTAAGCTGCTGCTGCTAGTGCTCCCAAGAATGGACCAACCCAGAAGATCCACTGCAAAAAAAAAAAACATTTGAACATCAAAAAATTAGATACTCGAATGGTTAATTTACCTTAACAAAGATAATGTACAAGTGATAAGTAAAAGACTTTACATGGTCATCCCATGCCTTCTCGTTGTTGTAGATAACAGCAGCACCAAAGCTTCTCGCTGGGTTAATTCCAGTACCAGTAATGGGGATAGTTGCCAAATGCACCATGAACACAGCGAATCCAATTGGAAGTGGAGCCAAAACCTATTCATACAACAAAACAACCAAACCAAAAAATATTCAGAATTTATTTGAATCTTCACCACAAACAACTATCTGAAACCACACAAAAAGACTCAACCTTTATTAGCAACTACACATACCCATTTGAGATTAAACAACAAAAAAACCATTAACACCAAAAGATTCAAACTTTATTCAAAATCTTTACTGACCCATCTCAGATAACAACAAATTTAATCATAAAACCATATAAATATTCCAACACAATCAGAATCTACAGAAGCCCATTTAATATTATACTACACAAAACCCTAAAAAGATCTAAACTTTATCCAGCTTTAAAGAGGAACACTTACAGGGATGTGAGAGTCACGAGCGCTTCTCTTAGGGTCAGTAGCAGAGAAAACGGTGTAAACAAGGACGAAAGTTCCAATAATCTCAGCTCCGAGAGCAGTCCCTTTGCTGTAACCAAGGGCTACAGTGTTAGCTCCGCCTCCAAGAGTGTTGTAAGGAGTTTTCATGAAAGCTTTCACGAAACCCACACCACAAATAGCTCCAAGACACTGAGCTACCATGTAACCAACAGCTCTCACCAAAGACACCTTACGTGCCAAGAACAGACCAAAAGTCACAGCAGGATTGATGTGACCACCTAAAACAAAACAAGAATCAAGATTAGTAATAAAGTAAAACGAAACTTGTAATAAGAAGAATGTTTTAAAGGTTAGATTATAACTTACCAGAGATACCAGCGGTGCAGTAAACGAGGACAAAGATCATACCACCGAAAGCCCAAGCGATACCGAGTAAACCAACACCATCACAAGGACCGGTTTGCTTCTTGTGGCCGATGACGGTGGCTATGGTGACGTAGAGGAAGAGGAGTGTAGCGATGAACTCAGCGATGAGGGCTCTGTAGAAAGACCAAGACTTGAGCTCTGCCATGTCGAGGAACGGAGCTGGTGGAGGATCAACGTAGTCTTTGCCATGGCTTTGAGTGTGTCCCTCTTCGCTCACTTCTTTCGACATCTCTCTCTAAAGGAAACTTGTCTATGGAGTTTTTTTTTGTTTTTGCTAGAATTGAGTGGTGGTGAGTGACGACGACAGTGTGTCTCTCTTCTGCCTTTTAAAACAAAGTGCCGTGGATAAGCCAAGGGTGTTTTCGGTATTGTCTTGTGTTTGTTTAGTTAATAATAAGATGGTAATTATCTTAAACAGCTCTGTAAGAAAATTTATTATTTGTACGGTTTTATGCTGTCTTTTAATGCTATAATGGGAAACCTTCTTAGAGTTTTTGGGAATTTAAATGTTGGATGATTGATTACCTCTAAAACTAAAATCGTACCTTAATAACGAACAATCAAGGCATTAATAAGATCATTTAAATCAGAAAGGAGAAAAAATATTTATTAGAATTTATGGTGTACTGGTTTTGTGAATTTGTATTTTTGTGCATTATTACAGGCAGATATATGTCAAATAATTAATATTAGTATTATCTGACAGTGATGATACGAAATAAAAATCAAAGGTGGGTATGGACAAAATCTTCTGCGGTTCTGGAATTGTGAATATTTTCTCATAATAAAACAAAATACGAGAGAATAATGTAAATTAAGAGACTTGGATTTTAGGTTTGCTGAATAATTTTTTTGGGTTAATACAATTTGAAGAAAAAAGGGAGATAAATTTTAAAAGGAGAAGGTGGTGGAACCCAAGTGTACAGGTAAGCCATGTGAGGGTTAATGATAGAAATGAGGTGTAACCCTTTTCTCGTCAGCCTGTCATCCAACCCTTTTTGCTCTTCCTCACAACGGTTATATATTGATATCTTTGTCTTTTGTCCATTTTTTCTGGCAACTTTCTTCTTATTTATTTATTTACCAAATTAAGTTTATAGCTCAAATGTCGATTTTATGTACTAACTAACTGTTAGCAGCTACAAGCAAAATTCTTTAAATAATCTTACAAACAATTTTATTTGTTAAGAGCATTAGAGCACCTTTAATGGAGGTTGTTTAGAGGGTTGCTTAGGAAGAGAAGGTGGCTTATTTTGAAGAGAGAGATTGTGAAAAGTGCTTAATTAAGCATTTTTCACACCCTCTCTCTTTAAAATAAGCCACATTCTCTTCCTAAGCAACCCTCTAAACAACCTCCATTAAAGGTGCTCTTAGAACATAGTATTCGTGGTTCTTAAAAAGGATTATCATACCAAAAAAAGAAAAGTGGGAGACTGGACCTGATTGATCGTGTGGTATACTTTTTGACAATTTGTAAAGAAATTATTCACTCGTGGATGCTTGTTGTTTCTAATACTTTCCTTGAAACCCTCAAAAACATGTTTGTATGCGAGCTTCTTTTAAGCTCATTTTTCTATTTTAAAACTCCATTTTCAATGGTTCCATCTATTTTTAATTTTTAAAATAGAGTACTTCTTTTAAAAAAAAGAGTGTTTTACTTTGATGGTTCTCTCTATTTGTACTCCACAAAAATACTTTAAGTATGTTTATTTTCTAATTATTTGTTAATTTATTGTATAATCTATAATTTAAAATTCAAAATACTATTCTTTTATTTTATCTTATTATAACAGATCAATACAATTACAACATTTTAAAAAGAAAACAATTATTTTAAAACTAAATTTTTGTTATAACACATAATTAAAAAAAAGATATACTTATTAAATATAGTATTTTAGTCTGAAAATGTAATATATAATTTTATTTAAGTAGAAAGTAAAATATGTAAATATTAAAAAGAAAATTTTGTAAAATAAATAATAATTCTAAAACAAAATAAATGAACAGTATTTTTGTAAAAGAAAAAATACTGTTCATTTATAAAAAAATATAGTTTACTTTGGAAACAGTTGCGTTTAAAAAGAAATTAAAATACCATCATAACTGCTTATATATTTTATTCAAAATGTTATTTCCTCCATTTCGTTAAAAGGCGTTTTGGAACAAATGTTTTTTCTATATAATTAACGTTCATAAAAAATGTGGAATAAAGTGACAAAGTACTATATTTACCCTTATATTTATTTTACTTCATATACTTTACAAAATATAATAATCATTTAGTAAAGAATATAAAAAGTATTTCATTGAATGCCTTAATTTGTGTGATAATCTCTACAATTTCATATAAAGAAAAATAGAGGAAGTATAATATTTAACAAACAATTACATTCTAAAAATAAATCTAACTAATTAGTTATAGATAAGTGGATTAAGGAAAACAGGTGAATTGCAATGTTTCTTCTTTGAAAAGTCATTTCCTCTCACTTCTTCTTTGAAAACCTATTTTCACTCGCATTTTATTAATTATATTTTAAAAGAGTGAAACACATGCTAGATGCTTTTAACAGAAATGTTCTTAGAAAAAAAAAAGTGTATGTCTCAAAATTAAATCTATCAAACTCTATACCCATAAGAAAGCAGATACTGGCTGAGAGAAAAAAAAAGCAGATACAGTACTTGTAACTTTTTATTTTTATAATTACTATATGAACAACTAGGGCAGGGCGGGATTTGGTGAATCAGTTTTTAGAAAATGTGTAATTTTTGTGTAAATTTTCTTTGTCATAGTAAGATAAGCAGCAAAAATTTTCTTTGTCCATTTTGATTGCTTATATTATATAAGCTGGCAACGTATGTATGATATTCTCCGTCTAAATAACAATCTGAAACCAAGGCTGGCATAGTTTTAAAGACATAGAATCTTTGGAATAACAGGGTGAAAGTTTTTCCTTGGATAAAAGCACACATAGCCAACGTTGAATGGATGTATTTGAGAGACACATAAGCAATTAAAATTAGTCTAAGAATACGTGTTTTTCTCTTAAAAACAACAAAATTGAACATATGAGTGTTTCTCTTTATTAAAAACAAAAAGAAAACAATGACGAATCTCACTTCTGTCTCTGAGCTATGTAGGTTGTAAATTTTTCAACTCTTAAATAGTATTAACATTTTCTGCAGAGATGATTTCCGCCCTGGAGTTTGCAACTCTTTGGAGGTTTGAGCCTGGCCATGTTCTTCACATATACTTCCTCCATCGGGACTGGATATGGACGGAGTGTTTTTTTTTTGTTTTTTTCCAGCAATGGTTGGATTTAGGCAGCGTGTGTTTCCAATCGAGCGTATCCAAGACCCTCTTTCCCTCTTTGATTTTTCCAGTACAGAGAAGTAACAAACCACAAAGATACGTACCCTTGTTGTAGTTTCCAGTTGCAGAACTACGAAGGTGGTTGAGTTCTTCAAAGGTTTTTTCGTGAATGAAGTACAGATTTATACCTTCAACATAGTGTGCTTGTGGATTATTGTGCTTTGAACACAACTCCATCAAGTTTTTGTGGTTGAACAACATCCGCAGTGGGTAGGATGCAAAATATTTGAGCGTCAGGATGTGGAAGTAAGACTCGATCGCCATGCCATGTCCTCAATGTCATCATCTGATCTTTTAATGGTTAGGTTGATCTTCGGCTCAGGTTCGATATAATTTGACACATCGTTTGAATCCTGATGAGAAGAGGGTGGAGAGTGTTTAGGAGAGTTTTCCATGTGCTTATATTTGATGAGAAGAGTTTGCGTGTATTTGATGAGAAGAGGCTGAGAGTTATGTGTTTATATAGCAACCGGTGGTGCAGTCAAGGATACGGTTTTATTAGCATTTATGTTTCTAGATTTTGGGATCTACAGATATTTGTTTTGATTTGATATAAATGCTGACGGTATGATTTTTACTATTATGTCGACGGAGGAAGCACAATAAGGTTCTTCTCTCTCCTTGATAGAGAGAGGAAGTTTCTCTCAACTCTGTTCACAAATTAAGATCTTTTGTTTTTTTGTTTGTAAATCTTCGGTTTAGCCGATCAGCTTTTCCGTTTAGCGGATCTTACCTTCGCAAAGGCGATTTTGTTGTGTTACGAAGCTAAGATCGAGCTTTACTTCATGAGTCTTGTCTTCTATTTCTGATTTTAGTTTGGTTAACAAAGTTCCAATCCAGTTAGATCGGGTTTTTTCTATTCTCTTTTTTGGATTAAATCCTTATACCGTCTGATTTAGGAGATTTTAATTCTGATCGTTAGATATGCTTGGTTCTTAAACTGGATAGGAATCAATCTTCACTTTAGATTGAATTAAGTGGAGTATCCTCAAGGTTTAGGTTTCTGAGATTGATGTTTAAGCGATGGTGAGAGGAAGCAGATTCAGATAAGCTGGAGTTTCACTGAAACGTTCTAGCAAGGTAAGAAAGCTTCATTGATCAACTGGCGATTAAAAGGAGAATTATGCAAGCGGTTCAAACCGGTCGGAGATGGAGTTATCGGTGTTCTCCGGTGAAGCTTCTGGTCTCATCAATGTCGACAGAGGAAGTAAACAAATGGGCCATAACAATACAAAAGAAAACACAGAATAAAGAGAAAAAACCAAACAATTGAGGCCCAAAACGAAATGCTGACATGGACTTAATGACATGTCATCCTATGTGGCAGTGTTTAGAAGGAGAGATACATTACTTTATATAATAGATAATAGATTCAGCGATCAACATAAAAACTTTTTTACGTTACACATATATAGCCATGAATGGTATTTTATAGTTCAAAACTAAGATAAAAAAAAAGACTAGCAATTGTTCTCGAGTTAAAATAACCGATGGATCATACGAAGTGCTAACGAAAGAGGAAGCCTGCAAGACCGTAGCCAGTGATTATACTCGTTTTGGTCACCTAAGTACAAAAGCAAAATAGTTTATATTTTTGTAATTATGTTTCCAAAAGCTAATAATATGATAGTGCACCCTCCTGCTTTCGTTTTTAATAAGTAAAGCGACATTTGTCCTTATCCTCCCAGCCCTAATCAACTTTCTTTTGCTAACATCCATAATTATTTATTAATTAATAACTATCTAGAATACTACTCTCTCAGTTTCTTCCTATATGATATTTTGATTTAATATCTGGAAGTTAAGATTTACATCTCCTTAAAACGTATTTTTAAAGATATAATTTATAATCATCA